ATACACATATCTGTGTATATGTATACATACACACGCACACACACACACATATATATATATGTGTTCGTGTAATATAGCATCCGACGAGTGGTATGTCTGTGGATAAGTATACAGACAGGTCCCAAATTCTAGAAGATAAGAAGCCTTGTAGCCTAATACTCTGTACAAGCTAGATTAGGACTCCTCAATGGTGTAAAATCTTTATAGCTATGCCTTTAGCTACAAGTACTATGTAATTGCTTAAGTCTTCTCAGCAGTCTGTGAACAATGATTGTCTCTCCCGCTCTGAAAATCTATGGGTAGAATCCAATGGCCAAGCACGAGCTGATCAAATGTTGGCGCCCTTGTGAGTCCCCGACCCGTCTTCACCCAAGTAGAGTAGGAGATTCGTGTATGACAAGTGTAATAATAGAATAATAGTATCTTTGGGGTGCTGAAGGAGAGTTGGGGGTCAAACTTAAACCAATTCCACTGTGTGTGTGAAGTGGAGTTTGGGAATTTGACACCCAGGAACGTGTAATTAAGGATCAGTAGAGATGGAAATTGACCGTTATAGGGAAAAAAAAAGACAGATCAGTGGATCCCATTTGGCGAAAACCGTATTGTTGGACTGAAAGAAGACAAGTGGCTTCTAGGTCTATTTTTTTTTCTCACACTCTTTAGAGGCTTAGACTTTAGTAGGAAAAGAAGGGAAAGAGCAAAAAAAAAAAAAAAAAAAAAAACATTTGATCTGAAATTGTTCATTGGTGAAAGAAGCAGTAACCTTTTTCTAAAATATATATATTTAGTATAAGCAGCTTCTTTAAATATGGAAGCTAATAAAGTAAATCTTGCCTTAAAGAATAGTTATTAAAAAATCAAGTTCTGTAAAATATTTCACACCTAATTGTGTCGATACGACTACAACTAATTATTATGTACCATTTCATGTATCTCTTAAAACTCTTTTTGCCTGCTTTGTTTTCAAAACTGACATAGAAGGGCGTACACTGCCACCACCATCATGCACGCACTGCTTTCTGTAATGCTTACCATCCAGGGAGATCCAATCAAATATTTATTATTATTCTCCTTAGGACATGTTCTGGCTGAAAAGATATCTGATGGCGTGAAACTGGCTTGTCGTTGTTCATTCTATTTTTTATTGGATGGTATGTTATTGGAAAACATATTCTATTACAGAATACAAACATTAATCAGAATCAAATTATCTCGCTATTTCTCATTCTCTCTTCCTCTCCCTCCCTCTCTTTCTGTGTGTGTGGGGCAGAGCACCGCACGTTTGTGCACAATCCTATATTTGTATATGAAAATGGATAATCATATCTACGTAACCAATCACAAAAATACACATTCATGTGCTCATCACGGTTCGCTATAAGCCTAGACAAGACCTTGGATAAGATTAGCACCAAAGCGTCGTTCAGTACTTAAGCAGCGGCGGAGCAAGGAGGCCTCAGCAGAACCGCAGCCATGGTCGCCAGAGTCGCTCTCCTCCTCGCCTTCGTCGCCGCCGCCGTGAGTATTCCCGTCGCCTCACCTCCAGTCACAACTTCTATTGCGGGGGATGTTTCCCGCTTGGCCTTGCGTTTTTTTTCGCCTTCGAATAACACTAAATCTAGTAATAAGAACACATAGTTAAGATTATAGATACGAATGTGCATCTGTAAGAAGCCTCTCTGACCCAATCTCCCCTGGCAGAGCGGAAACCCCGCCGCAGGGAAGCCATGGCACTGGAAGTCCCCGAAGCCCCTCGTCGACGCCCGCGGACCCGCCCCCAATGGTCAGTAGTCCTCTCGCGCTCCTGTAACCTGTGGGAAAATGAGAATTCTTCAAGTAGTTTTAATGCATCTGCCATCATTTTCTATTTGCAAATCAAACACGCATTCTAGGTGGCAGCAGAATCGTGGGCGGCATTGAGGCCGTTCCTCACTCGTGGCCTCACCAGGCAGCTCTCTTCATCGACGACATGTACTTCTGCGGCGGTTCCCTCATCTCCAGCGAGTGGGTCCTCACGGCCGCTCACTGCATGGACGGGTAAGTCACCATTCATAATACTACTGACATCACTGCATTTATTTGTCTCGCCCAATTTCATATAATGCGATTCCGTCCTACGCTTTTAGTGCCGGCTTCGTCGAGGTAGTGCTGGGCGCCCACAACATTCGAGAGAACGAAGCCAGCCAGGTCTCCATTGTCTCCACCGACTTCTTCACTCACGAGAACTGGAACTCTTGGCTCCTCACCAACGACATTGCCCTCATCAGGCTGCCCAACGCCGTTGAGTTCAATGGTCTGTATATTAGCATGCAAGTGTTTTACAAGTGAATGTGAGTTACATTACAAATGCAAACTTAACTGTAGTATCGCCATTAGCTAATCAATCACCATAACAATGGAACGTTACAGAGAACATTTCCACTGTCAAGCTGCCTGCCTCTGACGTTGCCGTGGGAACCACCGTCACCCCATCAGGATGGGGCCGCCCCTCTGACAGTACGTGCTTCACTTCCTTCTTGGTTGCTCATTGTGTTGCCATTTTTCATCACGATATAACTGTATTGTTCATTTTCTTCGTGTCCAACATTAAAGATGACCCTCTCTGCACAGGCGCCAGCGGTATCTCCAACGTCCTTCGTCAGGTGGACGTCCCCATCATGACCAACGCCGACTGTGACGCCGTGTACGGCATCGTCGGCAACGGTGTCATCTGCATTGATTCCGAGGGCGGCAAGGGAACATGCAACGTAGGTGTTCCCCTCTTTTCCCCTTGCAACATGCCTTCAGCAGTTTTATGAGTATGCACTGAATTTATTTTTGTGTTCCTCTGCAGGGTGACTCTGGCGGTCCCCTCAACCTGAACGGCATGACCTACGGCATCACCTCCTTCGGTTCCTCTGCCGGATGTGAGGCTGGCTACCCCGACGCCTTCACCCGCGTCAACTACTACCTGGACTGGATCGAACAGAAGACCGGCGTCACCCCCTGAACAGACCTCGGAAACACGAATTAGTCGCCTGAGTTTGGAGTTTAGGAACTGATCAGGCTCCTTGTACCGATTCATATGTATAACCTAATAAAACAGAAGTAAAACCAACTCCGTTGTTTATTAACAAAAAATATCTTCACATTACTCATCTGTAGAGGTTGAGCATAGAAATAAATGAAAATATGTATGCTGTGTATATAGGTGAATGTAAAAACGGTATAACCATTAGTTGGCATATGGTCCTGCATACAGTACCTCGTGACCCGGGTCAAGAACCTGTTACAAAAGGCATCAACGTAGTAATAGGACATTCATAACGTGTTACTAGGTCCTACTGCACAGACACCGACATTTCCAAATACTTTTATAAACTGAGTACATATGACATCTGCTACCAGGCCAATATGTTTACTGAATTCTTGGTCTGGCAGATCAGAGCCATATACACAATACACATACAAGCACTCACACATACACACGCACGCATACATGTACATATACATTTACAGTATGTATATATACACATATGCATATGTGTGCATAGAAATTTATATATATATATATATATCGCTACCTCATTGCAAGAGGGTCGTAACTCCAAATTCCTGATTTTTTAGGAGACTCATTTGAAAATTGCTAAGTCCTATGAATTTGATCATGTTTCACAAAACAACACAACTTACCATCTTTATTAGGTGAATATAAAGATGGTAAGTTTTGTTGTTTTGTGAAACTTGATCAAATTCACAGGACTTAGCAATTTTCAAATGCGTCTCCTAAAAAATCAGGAATTTGGAGTTACGACCCTCTTGCAATGAGGTAGCGATATATACATGTATATGTATGTGTGTGTGTATACTTTATATATATATATAATACAATATATATTATTTATATATATTCATATATGCATAGTAATATATATATTATATATACATATATATGTGTGTATGTATAAGTGTGTGTATATACTACACATATATATGTATATATATACATGTACGTATTGATATGCGTCTGTGTGCGATATGTGTTTTGCGCATGTGTATGCATGTATATTTACACAATAAAATAAGGTTGTATTATCGTAGATACCAAATGTCAGGAGATGAGTCATATTTTTTACTAAAAAGATATTGAACGGTAAATATTTAATTGTCAGGAACACTAAATCACGCTTATTATATATATACATATATATTTATATATATACATATATGTCTGTGTGTATGTATTCATATATCTATATAAGTGTGTGTACGTGTGTATGTGCGTAAACACACACACACACACGCACGGGTGAAATGCAGTGTTTTACGGAGAACTGTCGGCGATAATCGAAGAAAAAATCTTGATTATATCAAAGTTTCCACTGGCTCTCCTTGATTTAATAACATCGTATCTAATAAAGGTTCTTAGATAAATTGTTTTAAAATTTCGTGAAAACTCTACTACCATTGGGACCGATTAGATTCCGCCCCCATTTTGTTCGGCGATATTTTTCAGTGCCAGATATTAAGTGCGAGGCTGTATTGTATTAAAGTTCAGTCAGATAAACTAACACTCTTATACTGTAATATACAATTTTCAGAAAATATAAAAAGTATAGAGGAACTCTCACGGGACACTTAAATATATATATAAATATATATATATTCATACACACACATGTATGTCTATATACATATATGTGTGTATAGACACACACGCACACACATATCTCTATATATATATATGTAGAAAAGGTATGAATGAGAATGAATATTCTAATATTCTATTACAGAATACAAACATTATTCAGAATCTAATTATCTCGCTATTTCTCATTCTCTCTTCCTCTCCCTCCCTCTCTTTCTGTGTGTGTGGGCAGAGCACCGCACGTTTGTGCACAATCCTATATTTTGTATATGAAAATGGATAATCATATCTACGTAACCAATCACAAAAATACACATTCATGTGCTCATCACGGTTCGCTATAAGCCTAGACAAGACCTTGGATAAGATTAGCACCAAAGCGTCGTTCAGTACTTAAGCAGCGGCGGAGCAAGGAGGCCTCAGCAGAACCGCAGCCATGGTCGCCAGAGTCGCTCTCCTCCTCGCCTTCGTCGCCGCCGCCGTGAGTATTCCCGTCGCCTCACCTCGAGTCACAGCTTCTATTGCGGGGGATGTTTCCCGCTTGGCCTTGCGTTTTTTTTTCGCCTTCTAAAAACACTAAATCTAGTAATAAGAACACAATCTCCCCTGGCAGAGCGGAAACCCCGCCGCAGGGAAGCCATGGCACTGGAAGTCCCCGAAGCCCCTCGTCGACGCCCGCGGACCCGCCCCCAATGGTCAGTAGTTCTCTTGCGCTCCTGTAACCTGTGTTAAAATAATATTCAGAGTAGTTGTAATGCAGCTGCCATCACTTTCTATTTGCAAATCAAACACGCATTCTAGGTGGCAGCAGAATCGTGGGCGGCATTGAGGCCGTTCCTCACTCGTGGCCTCACCAGGCAGCTCTCTTCATCGACGACATGTACTTCTGCGGCGGTTCCCTCCTATCCAGCGGAGTGGTCCTCACGGGACGCTCACTGCATGGGACGGGTGAGTCACCATTCATAATACTACTGACATCACGCATTTATTTGTCTCACCAATTTCACATTATGATTCCCTTCCGTGTCCTACGCTTTTAGTCCGGCTCGTCGAGGTAGTGCTGGCGCCCACAACAGTGCCGAGAACGAAGCCAGCCAGGTCTCCATTGTCTCCACCGACTTCTTCACTCACGAGAACTGGAACTCTTGGCTCCTCACCCACGACATTGCCATCATCAGGCTGCCACCGCCGTTGATTTCATGGTCTGTATATTAGCATGCAAGTGTTTTACAAGTTGAATGTGAGTTACATTGCACATGCAAACTTTAACTGTCGTTATCGCCATTAGCTAATCAATCACAATAACAATGAACGTTACAGAGAAACATTTTCCACTGTCAAGCTGCCTGCCTCTGATTAGTTGGCCGTGGAACCACCGGCAACCACCATCAGGATGGGGCCGCCCCGCGACAGTACGTGCTTCACTTTCTTCTTGGTAGCTCATTGTGTTGCCATTTTTTTCATCAGATATAACTGTATTGTTCATTTTCTTAGTGTCAAACATTAAAGATGACCCTCTCTGACACAGGCGCCAGCGGTATCTCCAACCCGTCCTTCGTCAGGTGGATGTCCCCATCATGACCAACGCCGGACTGTGACGCCGTGTACGGCATCGTCGGCGACGGCGGGCGTGTCTGCATGATTCCCGACGGCGGAAGGGAACATGTAACGTTAGGTGTTCCACTCTTTTCCCCTGGCAACTGCCATCAGCAGTTCTTATGGAGTATGCACTGAACTTATTCTTGTGTTCCTATGCAGGGGTGACTCTGCGCGGTCCCTCAACCTGAACGGCATGGACCTACGGCATCACTCCTTCGGCGCTCCAGCCGGAATGTGAGGTTGGCTACCCCGACGCTTCACCCGCGCAACTACTACCTGGACGGATCGAAAAGAAGACGGCGCACCCCTGAACCGAACCTCGGAAACACGAATTATGTCGCCTGAGTTTGGAAGTTAGGAACTATGCTCAGGCTCCTTGTACCGATTCATATGTATAACTAAAAAACAGAAGTAAACAACGCTGTTGTTATTAACAAAAATAATTTCTTCACATTACTCATCTGTGAAAGATTGGAGATGGAAAGAAATAACATATGATTGCTGTGTATATAGGTGATGTAAAAACGGTATAACCATTAGTTGGCTTATGGTCCATTCATACAGTACCTCGTTGAGCCGGATAAAGGACCTGTTACAAAAGGCATCAAACGTAGTAATTAGGCATTCATAACGTGTTACTTGGCCTACTGCGCACGACACCGACATTTTCAAATTCCTTTGTTAGGATGAGTACATATGAAATCTGCTAACAGGCCAATACGTTTACGAACTCTTGGTCTGGCAGATCAGAGACATATACACAATACACACACAAACACACGCATACCACGCACACACATATATATACATATATAGTTACAGTGTGATATAATACATATATTTATATGTGCATAGAAATATATATATAATATACATAATGATGTAATAATGTAAGTGTGTGTGTTATGAATTTTAATATATAATTTTATATATACTCATAATATATATATATATATAAATTATATATATAAAGTAATATAATCATATAAAATATATAAATAATATATCTATAAATAATATATACATATATATATATATAATATAAATATACATTAATATGTATAATGCGTGTGTGTGTATATAAAATACATATATATAAATATAGATATATATATATATATATATATCTATATATATATATATAAAAACTATTGATATGGCGTCTGTGTGTTTTTGTGCATATGTGTTATGCATATATATTTACATAATAAAATAAGGTGGTAATATCAGAGAGAACAAGTCAGGAGATGAGTCATATTTTTTACTAAAAGATATAGAACAGTAAATATTTATTGTCAGGAACATAAATTTTCTCCTATTAATATATATGTGTGTGTATGAGTGTGTGTGTGTCCATATATATCTAAATATGTGTGGTACGTGCGTATCTGCGCAAACACACACACACACATGGTGAAATGCAGTGTTTTTATGAATATATGGTATAAATATAATATAGATATATATATATATATATATATATATTATATATAAGATAATATATATGTGTGTGGTGGTGTGGGTGTGTGTGTGTGTTTGGTGTGTACACACAACACACACATATATAACATAAATATATATATAATATTTATATATATATATATATATAAATATATAAAGTATAATATCTATACATTCATACACACACATATATGTCTATACACTCACCACACACACACACACACACACAATACATAAATATGTAAAAATGTATGAATGAGAATGAATATCTTTCACAATACAAGAGATATGTTTGACAAGGTTTCGATGATACATTTTTATCATGTTTTCTGACGAAAATATACTCGAAACCTTTCAAATACATCTTCTTGTATTGTAAAGATATTCATTCTCATTCATACCTTTTTTGCCTTTGTCAACATAAATATATATATATATATATATATATATATATATATTATATATAATATATATATATACTATATATTGTATCACGATATACATAAATACATGTATATATATATACATAATACTATTTTATATATAAAGGAATATACATAAATACACTGTATATATGTATATATATGCCTAATATTGCATCAATAAACATATACATACAGTGTATATATATACATATATATCGATATACAGATACACACATACTATATGTATCGTACACGCGCACACGCACACACACACACACACATATATCTACATATATACATAATAATATAATATATGTATATATAATAATATATATATATATATATATATATATATACATATATAGTAATAAAAAAAATATATAAATAATACATACAGATATATGTGCCTATGTATAATGTATATATACAAATATATGTATATATACAGTAATATAGTGTGTGTGTATGTATATCATGATATATGTGCATATGTATATATCTATATAAATATCTATAAATAATATATATCTATATATATATTTTGTGTGTGTATATGTAATAATTATATATATCTATATACATAATTAAAAATGTATATGCACATGCGTGTATATCATATATGTATATATGTGTATATGTTGTGATGTTTTCAACCTCCTCCCCCCCCATCTCCACAACTGTACCCCCCACTTCCTAGCCCCGATCCTTCCTATCCCTCTCGACTCCTATTCGCAACACCTCTTACAGTCCCCTTCACTTTTTCTCCCCTCTTTTACTTCCCACGATATCTTCTCCCTCGTTTACTCGTTTCCCTGCTTGTATCTCACCTTTATTCTATCCCCTATACTATCCTCCCTCCATCCTATCCCTATCCTGCCCTGGATCCTGCCGCATTTCCCCCTCCGTACCCCTCTTATTCGCCACTCTTCTTGTTCCTTCGCTTTTTCACTTTATTCTATCTCTACGCTAATTTCCCCCTTTTCCATCCCTTTCTCCGGTTTGTCCAAACGCGCACCTTATTACCTTAACCCTATCCTCCCTGCTCCCATCCTAGTCCCTATCCTATCCCAGCAACACTGCCGAAATCCACAGGCGAGTCGAGCAAAGCCCGGACCACTTCCCTCTGCCAGCCTCTTTTCTTACGCTTTTTATTTTTGGTACTACGCTGGCTACTACGCTAAATATCATGGAAATGTTAAAAATGAAATTATACAGATCTTGGCAAAAAGGGTGATGAGCCGAAAGGCTCAACAGTCCCATCCCGTGGATGGAATGTGCTTCCAGCAGGTCAAACTTGCACCTCCATCCAGTTACTGCTGGAAAATATCGACAAGGAATGTTAAAGTTTATACCAAGGCTGGCAACTTGCAAACGTTCCAAAGAAATTGACAGAATGGAAATAATGTATTAGGAGTAATCAGAGACTGTTTGGAAAGACACAGGGATTTTAGATACAATATACCCCATGAAGAAGAATTTAGAGTATTTTTGCAGGAGGGAATGACCACAGAAAAGGCGTTTGCTTTTATCATGAGAGGGCATTTGCACAAAGAAGAGTGTGATAAATAATAATTTGAAGTCTGAAAGAATAATAATAGTTAGGGTATAGCAAAACTAAAAACCTTCTCCTTGTCAAGTTTACGCACCCACTACAGCAGACTCAGATGGAGAGATTGAAAACTTTTACGAAGAAGTAGAAACCGCAAATAACCCCAAATTAAAAAATGGGATGATATTAGTCCTACAGATGGGATTTCAATCGAAGAACGGAAAAGGGAAACAAGTGAAGTAGTGGACCTCATGGCTTAGGTAAAAGGAATGAAAGAGGGAAACGAGTTAGTAGAGTTCTGCATAAAGCATAAATTGTTAATTTTTTGCAATAAATGGTTCAGCACGGGAAAATTTCAAACATAACTTGGTTAGCCCCAGACGGAAGAACGAAAAATCAAATAATTACATCATGATAAACAAACGATATAGGAATAGCATAAAAAATGCAAAAGGCCAGGCCAGGCGCTGATTGTGGGTGATCATAATCCAGTTGTTTATAAATATCCAAAACAAAACTTAAAAGAGTGGAAAAAGAACAAAATCCACAGAAAAAAGTGGAATGTTTCAAATCTTGATCAAAAAGTAACCAAAGAGAAATATAAACAAGAAAGTGAGAGACGGATTGACACAACTGACCACAAGAGAAAGTTGGTTTTGAAGAAATTTGGAAACATATTAAAGAGTGTCTCATTAAAACAGCAAGATCAGTGTGCGGTAAAAGAACAAAAATCAGGGAAGCAAAACTGGATCACAGTGGAACTATTAAACAAAATGGAAGAGAGAAGAATGTGGAAAAGAAATGAGAAGTGGCAGGAGTTTTATCAAAAACTATAAAGAGAATGTGCAAAAGGCCCAAAAGTCAATACTATAACAAAATTCTGTCATGAAATTGAATCAATTGATAAATCACATAACCCAAAAATGACGAAAAAAGGTTAAACCCACTGAAGCCTAAAAGTTACGATCAGAACAAGGGTGAAGAAAATAAAGACGGAAAATGCGGGGAGTAAAAGAGATCCTAGAGAGGTGGCAGAATATACGAGAACTATATTCAGACGAGAGACCTGACATACTCATAGAAACGAATAGCATGCACAATACTGTAAACATCTCAAGATGGAAGTAAGTCAAACATCGCTAATCTACCAAGGAAAATCTACTGAAAGATGAAATCCCATGCAGAAATTTTACAGAATATGGGTGAAAAAGGAATAGAAATATAACTTGGTAGTGGATATAAATGTTATAATACAGCCTTCAACCTGAAGATTTTCTCAAATCAATCTTGTATACAGCTTCCCAAAAGTAGCCAACACGAAAGAGTGTGCAGAACATAGAAAATAAGCTTGATATCACACAGCTAAATCGTACTACACAGTTACAAGAGAAAGAATAAGCACACTTGCGGAGAAAAGAATGAGTGAAAACCAATTACGGATTTAGAGAGGGTTCAGGAACAAGAATGCCAATATGTCAAATAAGCTACTTTCAGAGATAATGGTCAGTAAAAACAAGAAAAATTTGCATGCTTCATCGATTACAAAAAAGCTATTTGACAAGGTTAACCATAGTAATTAATTCATGTGTTGAAAAAGTACGAGTGCCTCCGAGAAACCAGGTAATATCGAATTTATACTGTCTCAAACTGCACAAAACAGAGTAAATCAGAAGACTCGCGCAGTGTTTAAATTGAGAAGGTGTATGACAAGGTTGTGTTTCTGTCACCAGTAATTTTTTTTTAATATGTAAAGCGAGGAACTAATAAATGAAGCCCTACAAGATGATTCTGGTTAGAAGTGAATGGAATGATTATCAATACATAAGTTGCTAACGACACCGTATTGCAGCTAGCACGAAATTTACAGAGATTAATTGATAAGATAAATGAAAGTTGTACAGCTTATGGTATGGAGTTTGAAGCAAAAAGACCAAGGTTATGGTCGGGAAAAACAGCCAGGGACAAAATCGTAATAAAATCAAATGGGGTGGCATTAGAGCAAGTAAAGCAATATAAATATCTTGGCACACTAATTACGGAAGATGCTAAATGTTACAAGAAATCAAAAAGAGAATAGAACAGCAAAGAAATCATTCTGGGAAGGAAATGGAATTAATGAAAAGAAATATCATATATGAATAACAAAGAAAAAGGTTACTGTAGACGATTAATATCAATGTCACTGTTCACATACGGTTGTGAGTCATGGACAATAGGTAAAGAAGCTGCAAAAGGATAAATGCATTTGAAACATTGTGCTTATCCAGCTAAAAATTAGCTGGATAAACAAAATTACCAACAAAGAGATATTTGACAGAGTAAAAGAAAAACCAAATTTATTAAAGAAGGATCGCTCAACGTAAATCGTCATTCTTTGCCCATATAGCAGGAGCCCTAAACCGAATTTAGGGGGGGAACATCATAGAAGGGTTATAAAGGGCAAAAGATCACAGGGTAGACCTCGGAGGAAGTGGATAGACTACATCAAGAGTGGACCAACATCAAGAATAATGGGGCAATAGAAAGGAAAGCACAGAACAAGAACAGTGGGAGATCCATGATAGGCAAACCTTCGGACTTACGAGGACGCACAATAGATAGATAGATGACTAGCTGGCCATTGTTTACATGTATTTTTACGTTTATTTACACCCATTTTTTTGTACTTTTAAATAAAGATTTTTTGAGATCCTTTGTTTACATGTATGTTACAAAGATTCGAATTGCGGATAACAACACCCCCATCGCTGCGACTTCTGCATCTTCTTTTTATACGTTTTTTTTTGTCTCTTGAGTTTTAAACTTCAGTTTTATTTTTGTTTTTTCTTTTTAGCTTAAACAATCATTTTATTTCTCATTTACTGCAAGAGAAGGTTATTATTTAAGATTTTTTAATAATGAATCGCAGCCAGATTCTCTACGTATTTTTTTTACCAAATTGTAATTCCTGACTGATTTCTTTTAACTTTAATTGTTTTTATCATTGTTTTATCTTTTGTATATTTTCTTTTTATTATAACAATTCTAGTTTTGGATTCACTATTATTTTTGTGCTACGGCGCCGTCGCGGGAGTCAATGTAACCCCCATGTTTTTGCTACAATAAATGAAGTGGATACTCTGACTGTTTGTGACTACCCTTGGATTTCTTGTCTGGATCTACAAACCGTGGATGCTGGAAACAAGGTTGTACTGCCTACCCTTTTACTTCCCAGGTTATCTATGCTGGACGGCTTTTTATATTTATACTTACTGGAACCATGTGTGCTCTTCGACTTTACCTCTAACTTACTCTGAATTTACTCAGTTTTAACCTTGTTCCTTTACTTTTTATCTTTTATTCATGCTCGTACCTCTTACTCGTCTTTTACTTGAACTTTTTAACTTGAGCTTTTACTTTTTCCTTATTGTTACCTTTCACTTGTTTTATCGTAGATGTTGGTTCTATTTTTTACTGTTTTTAAAGCCCTTCTGGATGCTTTGCAGTTTTTTCTTAAGCCCTTCTGCGTATTTTTTAAAGCCCTGTCTGGCGTAATTTTATTCACTTTTAAGGCCCTCGTGGCAATTGTCTTTTACTATTTTGCTTTACTTTGGTTGCCTTCTCTATGGAGGGGGGGATGTCGAATCTTATTTTTTTTTTTTCATGCATCTCGTATGGTCACGCTCCTGGTAGGCCCTGCATCTCCAGGATTGCTTTGCTTGTGAGTTCGTGTGTGGGTCCTGAGCAGATCAGCTTGGTCCCCTCACCACCCCCTTTTCGAGGAACGAACGGGGCCCCACATTTTCCTCGCCTAAGCCTGAAGCCTCCCGCCTCACGGGTGGCCTCTTTGGTTCCTTCCTCACATAACCTTACAATAATGTATATATATACTGTATATAGATATAAGTGTGTGTGTGTAGCATATAAATATACAAACTCATAATATAAATATATATATATTATATATATATATATATATATATACGTGTGTGTGTGTATATGAACAATACTTGGTATATCGGAAACTAACTGTAATGGCAGTGGAAGTTTTCATACAAACAGTAATGCAACAGTTATATTTTCGGGGAATAATAGGCTACAGTCATGCCGTTGTTATTGTAATATCAAAAGAGTTAAATAATGCACTTTTAATGTAACCCAATCTCAAGATAGATTTTCTTAAAATGAGACTAAATGCAAAACCACATAACATCAGCATTATTCTGAAAAAAAAAATAGAATTCTACAATGCACCTC